AAGAACAGCATTCCTAACATCTGAAAATTTCAGCAAGCATAGAACAAAGGTCCTTCTGGATGGGTGACTTTACTTTGCACGGGGTATGCAATTCATTTCTTTACACTTAGGCGCCTTGGTGGCCCCAACAATATGCATGAAACTAAACTTAAACCCCAACCTTCGCCCTAAACCCCTACACTAAACCCGAATCAATGGGCACTGAACAAAATCCTGGATGCTTGTTAAGGGATGTAACTCAAGTTATCATAGTGAGGATACCAATTAATATGTGCTCTAGATCCCTATTAGGGTAACTTGAACTAAGTTTCTTGAGAAAAACCCAGTTTCTCAATCGCAGCAAGTGGCGACCTGGCAGAGGAGGCGAATAGCGGCCAAGCGTCCATTCCTCAACGAACCGACTTGCCGAAATTCTGGGTTCTTGTTAAGGAAGCTAATTCAAGTTACCATAATAGGGATCTATAGTAAATAAAATGGTTTCCTTATCATGGGAAAGTCAATAGAACCCAGAAATTAGCGTGCCAATTTCGGGATTTATGTTGTAGAGTATAGAATCGTATAGGATCCCAGAGGGTCCATGTTTCCATAAAACATTATATATATATATATGGATGTATGCTACCACGATGGAAGTCGGTCCCAAAAAACCATTCGTACTATTGCTCTAACGAGTTCCACAACCTGGGGATTAGAATGCTCAAGAGCCGCTCCTGCAGAGACAGAAGGCCGGAAACTCAACACCTCAAAAATTCTGCGGCCTTCTTGGCCCCTGTGCACAGGCATAGAAGTCGTGACTGTTCGATTTGGGAGTTACAGTAAAAGCCAGAAAGTTGGAATATGGTTTCAGGGTAGGATACCCTATAATTTACCATAAAGGGTTTAGGATAATCATATTCCAACTTTCTGGCTTTTGCTTTAGGTTGATTTGATAAGCCGACTCCAGGAACTAGTCAACTGATCTTGCACATCACTGCTATCGCCACCAGAGTCTGCATCACCCCAGGTTACAATAGATGCATCAAAAAGGATCGCGGTGAATGCCCTACATAGCGGTTTCAAATCGTGCTGTGGGCCAGCGCCGAACACTCAAGAGATATTCGGAGTTAGGTTCAGCATACCTCGCGCATCTGTTAGTCAATCCTTGAACTGCTAAACACCATAAAAGCGCCCAGACCTGGGATCCTAGCATCTGATCATGACGAGAAACGCATACTTTTGGGGCCTTAATAATGAGAATAGGGTTTTGGGGACAATTTTTTGCCATAATTACAAAAAAGAACCACCAAAATAGTATGGTTACTTATTTAGGCGGTACCCTTATCCTATATTCTAATTACTAAGGCCCCCATGTCCCATACCGAACCCGAAGCAGCCCCCGTAGTTGCAAACGGCGCTCCAGCTGGCAACGTGCAGTGGTGTCCAGCCCTCTCTGTCGCAGGTGTCAGCATTGGCTGCAGCTTCCAGCAAGCACCTCTTGAGGCCCCTAACCCTAAACCAAAGCTGTATATCTTCATCGTAGCTGTAGTAGAATATGCTCCAACACGCTATTCTAATAGCCAAGTACCCTATAGTAGGATCGCAGAATCAAACGATTCTTATGAGGTGTGAAAGGGGTGAATCGAGTTTCAAGTTGCGGGTTTGCGGGACCATACTTTAGGGACCTTGTTGATTTCAATAGGGTTTTGGGGCCGATTATGATTATACTATACTTATAAGCAGGAACCGCCAAAACCGTGTTGGTGATTGTTTCGGCTCCTATATTACAGCTGCAACTCAGGGTGCAGTGAGCTAAAGACGCCCTGGGAGTTGATCCAGAACTCGCATTCGCTTTGGGTTTAGGGTTCAGGGAGTTTCCGGAAACAGGGGACCCATGTATATAGGCCCTGAGCATTTACATCCCAAAGCTGAGAATCTTACAACACAGCTATATCACAGAATGTCAATTCTATACGCCTCTGTTGAATTACCGTGAAACCTTTGTGAAACCACGATAGAGCCTTAAGAATTTCAAGAAGCCTCCCTCCGCCCCAAGTCTACCCATTACCTCCAAGCTAGGGTGGATTCAGGGGTGAGGATTGACGCCTAGGGGCTTTAGGATTGATTGTAGGGGTTCAGGGTTCAAGATTTTGGGTCTGGGGTTTAGCATTGGCGGTTCGAAGATCGGAGGTTGCGGGTTTGGCTGTACCACTCCTCAACCCCCAAGCCGGAGCCTGGACATGAACAAAGTCCCAAAGCCTCCAGCCCTGCAAAACTGTGAGCCTTACACCCTAACCCTAAAATTCTGAACCATAGTCTCCGAACCCCAAACCTGATACCCTACGTCCTAAACCCTAAACCCTACATAGTGAACCCTAGACTCGACACCTGAGAGCCGCAACCCCTGGCCTCAAAGGCCTGCTATACCCCCCTTGGAACCATCATGAAAACTGCATAAAGAAATCTTCCCCTGGGTTTTAGTTTGGTGAGCAAGAGATACCTGACATCCTACGGGGACTATAAT